AAACTGTCAACGGGACCGAATTTTGTGGTAAAGACTGTTTATCTCATTTTGCAGCGTTCTACTACTGAATTTTAAAATCCGAAATCAATTTATGATCATATAAAACAGAACACACAATAATTCTGAATTTATACAATAATTATCAACATTTTTATTATCAGTCCTTCGTGTCCCACCGTTATGGAGCCCCACAACTTCCTCGTCAGATCGAGGCTGAGGAATTCGAGAAAATGACCAACAATCTTGAGGAGGATTACTCTGATAAGAAAGAATTACTTACAAGGCAAAAAAATCGCAGATTATGAATTTATTTTTTCAACAAATTGAAGATGTGTAATATATCTTATCTGCATAAAATAAAGATTGCTATAGAATATTTATGTGTATTTAAAAATGTGAAAATTGTTTTCGTGACTAATTCCTTAATGTATTTTTAATTGCAAAGTGAGCAAACCAAGAACGCAAACTGTTAATTATTTACTTTGCCATTAATCATGCTATTTTTAAAAAATCAGATGGTACCATCGCGATGAAAACAGAGTACCAGTGACCTACATTCTATCACCAATAAGTCAACAAATTCCAGATTTTTTTGGCAAACAAGAAGAGGAAACGACACAAGCTGCTAAGCAACGGTGGCTGAAGGAGAAATCAGACATGATGGAAACGCTGCAACAATCGGCCCAGAAATATTTGTCACCGAATGAATGTGAAAAATACACGATATCAGGTAGTTGACCACATCACTTACATTGGGGCACCGATCTTCTGCTATTATTAGTTATAATGATTTGTGTTGTTCGGGTGCAACAGTGGTTACAAGAGACAAATGTGTTTGGATCAGGTATATTACTTACGGAATCAGGGCCTGTATTCACGAAACCGTTCTCATGCTCAAACTCAACGTTTGTGCTTATTCTCAAGTCTGTGCCCCAGTGAGAACGTACTCAAAATTCGTATTCATTAAACTTTCTGAACAGGGTAACTAAGAGAACTCTCAAATGTTTATTTTGTATGTCGCGCGATTTTTCGCGTACGGGCACCTGTATTCGAACAGACGACATAATAATGGCCACCGAGAAGGAGAAAGTGCAGTGGAGTACAGCGGAAGAAGCCTCCTTGATCCAAGCAGTACATGCCAGCGAGGACGTACTGTTTGGATCAATGACTGGTACTGGGGCCATTAAACTAAGTGCTAAAAGGAAACGAAAAAAACATGGGATGACATCACTGATATGCTAGGACTTGGAAAATCTCGTGTGCGATCTGAGTAAACCCTATCAATGCCAATTCTAGGTAAAATCATATGTTGATGTCACCCTCCCTATGTTCATCACTTCCACTGTGATCCCTGTCTCTTAATTCACAGTGTCCATGTATATATATTACTATCTACCTAACGAATGGCTATTGCGTGACAAAATTGTATTTGTATATACAATGCATTTATATGTTATGGAAAGGACGTGAGTTGCATTAACTTTTGTCCAATCCTATTGTCTTTTTTTCTTTTTGCAATAAAATTGATTTAAACTACAGAAACGACCAATCAAAAGGTATTTGAAATTTAGCCAAATATAGGAACATGTCTCCCTAAACGGACTAACCATAGAGAGGAGATTGTACTTTCTTGGCTCCGAGTTAAACACGCGTATCTTACTCGCTCCTGTCTCCTGCGGGGTGATGATCCACCAGTTTGTTATGCACGCGTTTCCACGCTGGTAGTTGAACATCTTTTCTTTGACTACCCTGATTTTTTTACGATCCCGGGTCTGAAATGCCTTTTCACCTTCGTTGAGTAGGATGAAATACTGAATTACGTTACAGAGATTAGCCTCTTTAACAAACAAAATATGAACCATATGTGGAGCTATAATTAAACATACTCTTTTTTCTATTATTAGTTTTATCCAGCAATTTAAATATCCTAATTTTAGGATTTTATTTCACCTTTAATTTTTTCTTTTATTTAACTCCTTTTTTAAATTACGGATAATCGTTTTATAAAGTAGTTTGGCACAGAATGACACTGGTTGTCTAAGGACCATAAAAAATAACCAATTACTCATTCTCAAGGAAACCTGGGTTCGATTTCTAATCGCACGTGCACATGTATGAGGTCAGCTGTCCATCAATGAGGGATTTTCGTCTGGTACTTTATTGGAAATAAAATGTAATATTGATTAAGTTGATATGACTTGCTCAGTCTTAGCCATCTCTTTGTCTTGTGATATTTGACGTTGGTTTCAGTGACGGAGAAAGAGACGGCGTTAGGGATGTTAGATATACCGGCCCCTGGGAAGCATTGCCTATGGTTCCGACGTAACATTACGGACATTGAGGATCAACCTCCAAGTGATCTACTAGAAAGATACATGGGTACGTCATTGATATTACGTCATTTTCGCTATTCGATCAACACTGATATGGTGGAAAGATACCCGATTAATTTGTTCAGCGTCATTTCCGATTTCTGAACATGCTTTCGACCTATTCACATCAAATCCTATCCTTCCAGTATACGATTTATTGGATAACTATGTATAACTATTACGTCATTTCCGCTATACATCCCGTACCTTATTTATTATGAGAAAGAAACCATGATGCATGTATATACAAGTCTCTGGGTCTTCTTTGTCAAATTTACTTGATCTTAACCTCCCATTACTTTTTATTAAAATTTATATGCAAACAATTTTCAATTGTAAACTAATTTCACTCGAAAGGGGAAACATTACAAAGATGCAAAAAAGTAACCTTTTTCACTTTATGTTCTTTTCAACAGAATGTAAGGGACCTGATGCAAATTGGCAGACAGCACGAGAGTTGTTAAGGAAGCTCAAAGAAGAGAAGATGTCAGCGATGTTACCATCAGAAAATCTTTTCACCTACGATATTAAGTGGACGGAAACTGGTAAATAGATCAGATAAAAACGATCATCAGTTAATATAAGTCCTTCATTTAGCCCGTTTCTGCTCGATAGGTTAAGGGAGGGAAATTGTTTCTCGATGAGCCAGGGTTTCTGCTCGATGAAACGATTTTTGTTTGTTTGTTTTCTTTTTTTTTACTGGCTAAGGTAGGGTTTCTACTCGAAAATGCCAGGGCCGTTTTTCATTTTAATTGACCAAGGTTTCTTCTCGATTGACCAAGGCCGGGTCTCTTCTTGATTGGACAAGTCGGAATGCCTTCTCTGTGGGCCAAGGCCGAGTTTCTTCTCGATTGACCAAGACCGGGTCTCTTCTTGATTGGCGAAGGCCGCGTTTCTTCTGGATTAACCAAGGCCGGGTCTTTTCTCGATTGGATAAGGCCGAGTCTCTTCTCGATTGGACAAGTCGGAATGCCTTCTCTGATGGCCAAGGTCGAGTTTCTTCTCGATTGACCAAGGCCGGGGCTCTTCTTGATTGGACAAGTCGGAATGCCTTCTCTGATGGCCAAGGCCGAGTTTCTTCTCGATTGACCAAGGCCTGGTCTCTTCTTGATTGGACAAGTCGGAATGCCTTCTCTGTGGGCCAAGGCCGAGTTTCTTCTCGATTGACCAAGACCGGGTCTCTTCTTGATTGGCGAAGGCCGAGTGCCTTCTTTGTGGGCCAAGGCCGAGTATCTTCTCGATTGGCCAAGGCTGAGTCACTTTTCGATTGACCAAAGCCGAGTTGTCTTCTCTTTATATAGGTTTTTTTCAATTGGCCAAACTTTTACAAAAAAATGTAAAATAATATGCAAATTACGGTGGAAATACTATTGTTAAACGACTTCCTTGTCAGGGAATACAAGATGGGTTTTATTTCACATACTTCGTTACCGTAATTACTATAAGGAACATTTGTCACATGAACTGTTATTGATCTATTACAATCAAATGATACTAAATGTAACACATAGAGATATTTGATGAGGCACCTTATAACGTCAGTAATGGGAAGGTCGCGGAGTCGTGACTATCCAGTTAATTTCTGGCGACCAAGTCGGGAACGGAAGTGGGCGTCGTCATGAACGTTTTAATTTAAAGTTTCGAGTTTAGATACATTTCTCTGAATACAAAGTTAAACGGTAGCCAAACCTGTAATATGATTGGATCATTTTGTGGGTACGTTGACAAATCCATCATCTACAACACATCTTCTAGAATTTTACAGTCCAGTAATTCTGAAAATATTGGCTCTCTGATGTTGGACTTCTCGTTTATACAACAAACCTGGAATATAGTAACGTTGTAGGTGCCCGACTCCTCCAAATTGGTAATATGAATGTTGCCGTATTTCTGAGAAAAACTTGTTTTTATAAATGACTTCAAATTCTATAGGTTCTGTTAAATCGTTTACTTTAGGTTAAGTTCGCAGTCACATCTAATCAAGTGCTGTAAAAATATAAGACGAGTATTTTTGTTTGTCTTTCTAGGTAAAATGTCATGTTTGAGTTAATTTCGATTGTAAAATGTCATGCCCTGTAATTCACAAACTTCTAAGATGACAAAAAGATTATATGAAGCAACATTCATGATAACTAATATGGAAATTTTCTATTTTTGTTTTATGGAATGGAGACATAAATAATGAATTTTGTTGTATTTTGCTTAAACATTGCCATATTAACAAATCAGGACAGCCTAGACGTATAGTTAAGCGCAATTCGTATTATTTATTATTTACATTATTTACAACAAAGCGAATTCAACAATATAAAAATATGATATGGTTAATATCTTATTTCTACGAATCTTATCAGATATTTGCAGCGTTTTGAAAAATTATCAATTGTAAATTGCTATTTTTGTGACCATATATATATCCGTTTACTGAGGAAACACAATAAATACTTGAAAAACAGAACCAAAAGTGAAACTGCATTTACGTGTATCAAAATCTATTATTGACATTGAAATCAATTAAAATCTACACAGTATATATCAAGTATTTAAAAACGTGACCCTCGAAATTTCTATCATATTGACTGGACTTTACGATCAATAAATAAATACAGCTTTTTTTAATTTTTGAAGCTAAAACAATTTGAACCCAGAAAAGCCCGAGTAAGTCTGACCAATATAAGCGTCACTGCTAGCCTGGGTAACCTGCACGTAAACACGGTCCCCAGCATGTAAATGCAGTATGACGGAGTTCGAACTTGAGGTTGGTACGTTATTGTCTCCAGTCTGAAGAGCTCCCTCGATCATGCCGTTCCGGAGGAGACTAGTACTGATGGTTCCACCTATTCCATTGGTGGGTACGGCCTGGTTGATGCTCCAATGAAATACGTAGGTCCCCGCTTCGGGACACATGAAAGTGCCCGTGCTCGGGTTATAAGCATTTCCGTCGTTAGTCTGCACCGAGTCAAAATGGAGGGTCTGGCGTTGAGTGATATGTGGAATATTTTGTCTGATCATTGCATAGAACGCCACGTTAGAACCTGCAGAAATAGTTTTATATGCCCTTAAATTTAAGAAAATACATCCTATCTACAACTTCTTTGTCTTCTTGTGATTTAATTATTTTCAATCTCTTCTGTTGTTATCAGTGTGAAATTGGGGAACTTTGTCCAATTTATCTTTCCTAATTTGCAGTAAGTGTAAATCTCCAAAAGAAGCATGAACGTCAAAATAACGTCATTTTAACGTAAAATAACGTTATTTTGAGTTTTTAAAATTGTTTATTTCAGATTTTTCCATTTTGTTTTTTGTTGTTGCTGGTGTATAAAATGTATTTTTTCAGTTATTTTAATTGACTTTCAAATATCCCTAAAATAAATGCAGTTTATACACTAGTAAAGAAAAAAAGTAAACTTTGACCGCTTATTTATTTATTCTATTCCAAAATTAATATTTATCTTTCAATGATGTATTCTCAGCATTATTTTGATATTAGCTTTTATCAATGAAAAATTACAACGTTATTCTAGCAGTAGAACTTCAATATCGTTGAAAAAATAATGTATGAAAAATTGGTTATTTATCTTTTTCTTCAGTGTCCGAAGACATCATAATCCTCTTAGGAAAAATACCCTAACTTTGTATCTCAGTTAATACCTCGATAAAATAACCATAAACATTAAAGACAGAATAGCAAGTCAAACGTGCTTTCTGGTCGGTCAAGAAAAATGTATTGATCTGAAGAAAGAAAGACTTACCAGTTTGTCGTCCCAACCTGTGAAAGCTTCCTGCTGATTCCAAGGTGCTAAGTCTGTCGGATAATTGCTCATTATCCAAACGCAGCTTTTGGTTTTCCATTCGAATTGTGTTCATTTCCTGCTCTAGGGAATGAAACCATTTCATATTGTCTGCTCTCAATTCTTCCCGTTCGTTGGCATCTAGCTTTCCAAAAACTAAAGATATCGAAAATAGAATGGTTGAAATGAGGAGAAACGCCATTATGCTGTAGATCTGTGAAATGCCTTAAATGAAAATGTGGTAGATAGATATAGATCTTGTATGTATAAGGACATGTTTGGGTCAGTCAGTACAAAGATAATGCCAGGTGTCCATGCCTTCAAGTTAAGCAACAATGACACGGACTGGACAATCTTCAAGTGACTCTAATTTATTATACGTTACTCTTATCTGACCTTTTCATCCATGTAACTTCTGATCACAAACCATATTACTGTGAAAGTTGTAAATTTCAAGAGCATTCTATATTCAAGGGTGGAACAGACCTATCTCATATACATAACAACTTCGTAACCTTTACTTTTGGGTCAAACAGATACAGGAGAATGAGTCTGATTACATTTCGACCAATAGTAAATGTATAATCTTAGAGTCAACGACATTCTTCTTTGTCTTCTACTGAGGGGACATTGAAGAGGCCAGATTTGATCAACTGCCGGATTTGCAACAGTTGTCATATCGAAAGATGCAAATAAACGCCGATTCCATTACATTTGTTATTGAAAGAAAAATAAATATAAGACAAGCCATTAAAAAAACCTTTTACTTCTGAAATGTTGAAGATTTTCAAATGGAAATAGAAAGTCTTACAGATATATTCAATCTTTCTGATGTTATGGTTCCAAATATCAAATACTTGCATCGAGAGAAAATCTTGTAATAGTTGTACTTCGACGACGATACGCGGGCTTAGCAATCTGATATTTATGTCAGCAAATTAATGGTTAGTGATATATGGTTACGTCATTCACGGAACAAATAAATCCTTCGATTTCAGGTATTGACAAGAATAACCCTGAACATTGTACCTACCTTAAGAAGCTGACGTCAGACCTTGTGAATAGGATGAAAGAGATGATATTGGACGGTATTGAAAACCAGACCCCAGACAGCCGTGATGTCATGTTGGTCGAATGCTCACAACACCTGTCATTTGCTAGGAAGAGATGCGACATCTTTTTCGGTCGAGAAGAAGTTCTTAATGTAAGTAAATCAGATTTTTAAAGTCTAATTACGATATACAGTTCATCTCTTATCAGTTGAAAAGATCAATAATGCATATATTTAGGCAGTCTTTTCAATTCAATATACCTGAGGACTTTCTGCTCTGTCCAATAACTAAACATTTCATTAATTGCCGGATATAAGGCTCCAACTCTTGCTGTAATTTTTATATAAAATAATTGAACAAGAAAGTGTAAATGTCAATTTTTCTTTTGTTTCCAACTTGACCTGATTCTGTTGTTTTTCACATCCGTGACACAGCCCTATTCCATAACTGTTTTAAATGTCAGATATTTCAATCCACACTGCCTTTGTGAAAAGAATAATAGTTTGGATTAAATAAGAATATGTTAGAAAAAACCCAAACTCCAAATCGATGAAACGAGGCCAAAACACGAACAAATGAAAGGATAAAAACATGGTTTCCGACAGAACAAGCAATTCATGCTTCATTGATCATGAAAATCTTGATCTGTCTAAGATTACACAAATGACACACATGTAATAACGCCTTTTAATACAAAGCTTGAATTAGCTACAAAAGAGGCAAATGATGATTTAAACTGTATCGTATACCTGCTTCGTTCGTCTAGAAATCTTCATTTTCTCAAATGAAGTCAGTAACAACGAACATGTCATTTGGTAGAACGATATAGTATATTACCAAACGTGGTGATAATGATGAACATAAGACTTCCTGAAGTATGACAATATTTATTTACTCTACTTCATTTTTAAGAACGTTCGAGATTTCCTAAGCAACAAGACAAGGAGTCTTTTAGTGATTCATGGAAAATCTGGATCGGGAAAAACATCCATCGCCGCAATGACAGTCAAGTATGCTAGGAAATGGATGGCATGTGGCAATGCTGCTATTGTAGTCCGGTATTTATAGCAAAATAACATCATATCATATTGGTTGGATTTCAATAAAGACGCGGTTTTTTCTGATTTCTTCTTCAGTCTGCATAGTTATCCTTTACTGCAATAATTCACATAAGGGAAAAACGCTTTAATTAAATTTTGATTGATTCAGGTTTCTTGGTACGACGGCGACAAGTTCTACTATCCTTAGTCTGCTACAAAGCGTTGTGAAACAGGTCAAGGCAATTTATAGACAAAAACAGATGGTTTCTCAGGTAAAATATATTTTCCACGTCTTTGTCTTTGACGTGAAATGTAAGTGTTAAGTGGTATTCAAAATGAGAGGGATCTCCGCCCAGCCTCCTTTTTTGTGGCGGTAATCTTACCGTGTATAAATGACATGCTAACTAAAACCGAATGATATGCCAACTTAAACTGACTGATAACGTTTTGAAGTGTACGGATATCATCAAACTTCATAGCCTGCAATTAGTTTCTCTACCATACACGTATGTTCGCCGGGTTTTTTTTTTCTTTATTCTTCACGCTGATGGTTTCTGACAGAAACTTTAATGTTGAATTTTGTGGATGAATTGTATATTGATTTTGGATAATATCACTTAAAATGTAAACAATATATTCAAAAATCGTAGTAAACATTGGCAATATTTCTGAAAACTAAAACAAACCTCGACTACTGTGACAGTGTTTCCTAACTCTGATAAATTACAAATAAAATTAATTAGTTTTGATGCGAGGAGTTAGCATTCAAATTAGAGTTATATGTCCTTACATTTATATGATGAATGATGATCTATATGATGAAACGAATATGATACAAATATATCTTTGTAATAAAAAATATCAGTTTACAACCTATTGATCTCTATTTAACAGAATCCAAAAATATTGTTCAAGGAATTCGAAAGTTGCTTAAAACTGGCCAAAGCTGACCGTCCTCTAGTGGTTATTTTGGACAGTCTAAACCAACTTGACACTGAAAATTCTGGACATAAACTCGAATGGTTAACATTGGTTCTGGAGAATCTGCCTCATGTTAAAATCATTCTAACAACACTGGACGAAGATCCAAAAGGAATTCTCAACCGACTAAAAGTAAGTATCGAGATAAACGTTGCTTTATGAAGTTAATGCTGTTACAACAAATTTCTGATATTAGGCTTCCATGAAAAGGGTATATCTTTCAGCCAAGGTAAAAAAAATACTATTGAAAGAAGACCAACAAAGAAAGAAAGTTGGTCGACACTATCAAACTTCAATTGTTAAATTGTTGTCAACTTTAAAGCAAGTTTAATTTTATATGTTTGATGTGCGTTACACGGAAGAAATATCAGCTAAGGTAAAAGTTGAAACCCTTAGGTTTGATAATGGATCCACAGAAAGACTTCTTGTGGTGTTATATAGGGATAATTTATAGGGCATGGCTATCAGGTAGGATTTTTATGCAGTTAAAGCAATGCCCTATAAGGTACCATTGTAAGATTACACACGTGAAATTGAGTTGTTGACAATGAACTTCAATGTTCCTGCCGCTTAAACGAACAAATATCATTCAAAACATTTGTACCATTAAGCTGTAAGAAATAAGAAATACAAGGAATTGGGTTTCATGACTCGATTTCAATTTTCTGCACAGACGGTTTCACAATATTTGATTACATGACATATTCCAGACAAATGACCAATTTTATGCCGAATAGAATTAATGGGTGATAAAACGTATTCTGCTATTTATTTTCACACTGTTTCAAAATAGAATAGATAAATATTAACAATGATATCGTTTTGATAATTCAAAACAGGATAAATACAGTGAAAGTGACCATTACATCAGAATACCAGAATTACCAGTCCAAGACACAGTGGGAATAGTACAACTGTACTTAGACCAACGTAATCGGAAACTAACTGCTGAACAGATGACGTACTTCCTGTCACATATGGAGTCGTGTTCGAGCCCACTTTACTTGAAACTGTCATTTGATCAAGCCTGCAAATGGCACTCATACACTCTTAGAGACGAGATAGTGCTGCAAGCCACAATTGAAGAGAGTATTAGACATCTCTTTTCTGATTTGGAGCGAAAACACGGAAAGATTGTTGTTTTCAAAGCTCTTGGATATTTAACTGCAGGTAGTATTACAAAAGGACAGACTTTCAAAATGTTTCTCTGTGTAAGGGGTAGGTTTTATTTCAGATGGGCAAAATATTCAACACAGATGAGGAACATGCATTAACTACAGGAAGCAAAATTATTTGAATTTTGATTAATTTTCAATAGTATCAATAAATTTTAATACATGACCATACATAGTAAAGTTAATACTATAATTACAAAAGCATTCCATTAAAAAAGATTTGTCCACCTTGTGAAGTCTGGGTATTTTTGCATCGATAGAAAAATGTTTTTTTTTTATATTGTACGATAGACGACTTGTTTTCTTAAAAAAAGTTTTCATGGTTGCAGCACGTCTCGGTCTATCGGAATCAGAGCTAGAGGACCTACTATCATGCGATGACCTTGTGCTGAATGACATCTACCAATACTGGACACCGCCCGTACGACGTCTTCCGCCATTACTATTCGCACGGTTAAAGATGGACATTGACGAATATCTTGGTAAATCGAAACAATTTCTCTTAGGATGTTCATTCAAAAGCACTTTCTTATAAATGATGCACTTTTTCTGCCTCCTTGTGATAGCAATGATTGATGGAGGTTTTTTTATCACGTGATTTCTGTGCGTTTCAGTTGAGCGGGGAGTAGATGGAACACGTGTCTTTTATTGGTATCATTCCCAGTTTCTCGACGTGGCACAAAACCGATACTGTGAAACCGAGACCGGAAGACGACAACTTCACGAATCGCTTGCAGAGTATTTCAGTGGGAAATGGGCCGATAGTGAGTGAAAATTAGATTTATCTATACCAGATAAATTTCTCATATGAAACATGAATACATAAAGTTAAAGATTAAACTGCATTCTGAGTACATTTTATCTTACTAATATCTTATTGAAAAGTTGAATTATTGATTTCAAAATATGATCGAAGAAACCGGAAAATTAATTATATCTCTTGAAGCGTAAGGT